CCCCTTTTCTTTTAATCTGGCTTTCCCGTAGCTTATTCCAAGTTTGTTTTGCAGTTCTCTTTCTGCCACGTTGTTCCTAACTGTTGGCTAATTTGGCAACAGGCAGCATAGACTAAATACCCCATTGCATAGCCACAATTACCCTGCCATGTGCAAATCCTAGCAGTCAAAATATAGCCAAAGACAGGATATGTCTCTCATTTAATTCCTGCCTCAAAGAAAAAAAGAAAGTCTGTTTTCTTACATTGCTAATTTACTGAAGGATTTAATGAGTAGTGGAATAAAGTAATAGTGCCATCCTTAAAAGTCAGTCATTTGTTCTCTCTGGGTACTAGTCTTGATTTTTTTGGAAGCAGATTCTGCTGTTTCATACTGATGCAGTAAGACAAGGGAAAATACAACTCCTACTCATTCTTCCAGATTTCGGTTGATTTGGAAGAAGCCTCGGACATGTGTTTGTTGTTAAAGCGGTTATTCGTATTTGTAGTTGATTTGGAAGAAGCCTCGGACATGCGTTTGTTGTTAAAGCGGTTATTCGTATTTGTAAAGCCACTAAAGGTAACTTGCAAGACCTTGTGTGCTAAACTAGAAAATGTAGCTGCATCAGTGCTGGCTGTACTCTGGATCATCTGAAGCTGCATAAAATGCATTTTAATGTTCAAATAATAACCTTTTGCACCTGCTTGTAGCAAATGATCGAAGGATTATCTTAAAACAGGCAGTTGCTATTTCCCAGGTTTGCAAGTCACACCTTTTGTTTTGGACAGATCAAAATAGGTGATGCGGTTAAAAATGAATAAATGCTTATCTGTGTTAGCTGGAAGCTTGATGTCAGATTACAAACGTATTTCATGAAAGTTTTGTGTTGTCATTCCAACGTTTTTCCTGTTTCCACAGCAAGCTTATTGTAGAAAACTCTTCGTGCTAACAGTAGATTAAACCAAAGATTAATTTCTTCACTGTTAGTCTGCTTTGTCGTTTCACTCTCTGATTTAGTTCTGCCTGAGTTGTAATGGACGCATGAAATAAGTATTTTTTCTTACATAGTTGAGGAAGAAAACTTTAGGCGCCAAGTTCTATCAAAACATGAGATCCCAGAGAAATCGCTCCTTCCTGACATTTTTTACTTAACCACAAGCCAAGAAGAAAGACTTTTGCATGTGCCTGCATACTCCGCATACATGAATTATATGTATGTGAGGGTCTGCTCTTCTGCAGAATGATTGTGCTGGTTCTGAACCCTAAAAATAGGAGCATTTCCTGAGTTAATTCTTTAGGGCATTATATTATGGTGACTCTTTAAAGTGTTTTCATTGAGTTGTTTCTGCAATAAACTTTCTTGCCTCTGAGTTTTCATCTTTATTGTGTTTTTTCAGTTATATGATCTCAAAAAGAAAATCCTTAGAATAGCAAGGTTTGATATTCTTATAATTGACCTCAGGGCCACGTTTATTTAAAACATAATGGCATCAAATTTAAAGTAGGTGATTAAGAATCAAAAATAAGTGAGAAGATCTTTCACATCTGTCTTGGCAGTCTTGTGGGCAAATCAGGTAACCGTAACAATGAGGTTGCTTGGAGGTTCAGGAATCATAAGGGAACTAGAATACTTTGGGGAGGTAGCTCGGCAGCATCAACTGTGGCTTTGTCACCATTTGGGGCTTTTTTTTTTTTTTAAAGCTGAAATACTCTCATTTCCCATAGTTTCAGTGAGGTTCTAGTTAATATTTGTGAAATATTCTGGGACTGAGGTATGTTCTTTAATCACAAGATGTTTAAACTTGGACATTCAAGAAAAAGAAACAACTCTCAAAGAAAATGGCCCTCAAAAGAAAACAACCCTCAAACTCACGTAACTGTCAAGTTGTGATAATATTTGAAAACCTACTTAAAGTTTGGCATTAGCATCTTTTTCCATAGTATTTCCTATTATTAGAAATGTAATAGTTTTGAAGTCGGATTCAGATAAAATTTTACTTGGCTATATTGACTATTACTAAAAGTTATGAAAACAGCTGTGTGTGTTTGGTTTTTTTTAAATACATGAAAAGTTTGTTTCTTTACCAGCTTAATCCTAGGGTAATTTAAAAAGCAAAATTGTCATGTCTATTTTGTTGGTGTATTTTATGATACTACTCTTGGCAATACACGTGGAAAAATAAGGGAGTTTGACTATACTGTGAGTCTATGATGAAGACGCAATTTTGGAATTACGTCTGAGTTTGTATACTCTGACAAAATGAATCATTAACTTCTTAGGAATCCAGTATTTAGAGCACTGCATCCCTGCTATGTTAGGGTGCAGCCATTCACCATTCAAGCCTCACATTAGTTTCCCAAACAAAGGTTCTTGCCCATCAGACTGGATGCTCTGACTCTGACAAGGACTGCTTGTGCACCCTGTTCATAAAGCAGGAGAACTCATAAATTGTGGACATTTCTCATACTGCCACATGCATCCACAAATGCTCTTTTGAGGAGATTTAACTTAAAATTACAGTTGATACTGACTTCATACCTGGGAGATTGCTTTGTCTCTAAGGGAGTAAGATTAGGAGTTGTGTTATTCCAAAAAACAGCATGACTAAAAAAATAGAAATCAATTCATGTGAAAAAGCTGCAAATGTGTGTTCCGGTAGTCTTAAGTTTCATAAACTGAGGATGAAACCTGGAATTGAAAATAAAGTACTAAAAATGCCATACATGCCTATCCAAACCAGTATAACCCATAAAATGGCTAGGTGGTGAAGGAAGGGTCAATTTAAGGAGGGAGTGAAAGCAAGCTGAAGGAATATGACAGCCCAATCACGTCTATCCTAAAGCTGTCCTTTCTAACTAGTGTACAGCAGAAAAAGTCACAGCCTTTGTGGCGATACATGGATCCAGTATCTGATGAAATAACTTTAAAGCTTCTTAGGTTCTTGAGCTGCCCAAATCGTGTATTTTTCACTTGTGTTTTTCACAGCAAGAAGTTTGTATTGGCATCACGTTGGTTTTAGCATCTTCTTGCTGACTGTGCAGAAGCTGTAAGTGTGTGGATTACATAGAGGGAAGTGAGCTGGGGGACTTGTAGTATCATACCAGAGAGAAGGATTTTCCTTTGGAAATTGAGAAATTCTTCCAGCTCCCGCTCTTCATCAGAGAGGGAAATCTGAAAAGATCAGCTGTTCTTGTCTTCTGGCTGTTTGCTCTCAAAATGGGGGCTGGGAAACAACATGTTGTGTAAATAGTTCCAGCCTTGCATCGTGGCCAGAGATAGACTCCCCTGGTTGCTGCATCATACTCGTGCCTTAGACTTGTGTCAGCTAGAAATTCTTACGGAAATAATAGAAGTAGTGCTGTGCTTTTAGCTGTAGGTGCTGCCTAACCAGAATCTCTTACTGGGGCTAACTAGTCATCATGTTCTTGTATTCCATTACATACACAGATTGTGCCTTTCTTGGCAGGAATCAAATCAGCCTGTCATAAATTTTCATGCATAAATATTCTGGATTGAATTTCCACTCCAAAAGAAATTTGAAAAGGACAAACGAGAATAAAATGTAAGCTGTAAGTACTCTTTCAAGTAGTTGTGAGAGGAGGAAATAAACTCTAGGTGTAAGTCTGATCACATTAAAAACATTTTTAAGCTTTGAGTTGAAAAATATTTTGTCTTCTCTGCAACTGCGATAATCTCTTCAGAATCTGAAAAATTGTTATGAGACACTTGTTGTGTTGTTCTTCGCAGTTTATCTCCTCTCTCTTTTGGCTTTCCTATAGGTGAAATAACAATGGATGCAATATTATCCCGATTGAAGCAGCTCACCCCTGATGAGCTTAGAGAAGAAATTGTAAGAGCAGGACTGAAATGTGGGCCCATTACCTCGACTACTAGGTTTATTTTTGAAAAAAAATTGGCTCGGGAGTTGTTGGAGCAGCAAGGAGCATTGAAGGAAGAAGGATCTGCTCTGTCAGAGGAGGCTGCTGGAAATGTCCCATCTGTTAGCAGCCGGGCAGAAGCACAAAAGGCTTGGAAAACTACGGCAGTGAATCACAATGGTCATGGAAGTGTTTCTGAAGAGGTAGACTTTGGGTACTGTGTAGGTCTGAACCCTCCAGAAGAAGATGCTGTGATGCACGTGAACTGTTCAGCTCCAGTCTGTGGAGCGGGATGTGTTGATTCACAAATTAGTACTCAGACACCATCCAGAGATCCTCCGCTATTCTATGGTGTTTGTCCAGTTTATGATGACATATTGGCAAGGAATGGTAAATATTTATTTCCTTTATTTCCAATGATAAGCATTTTACAATCATATCTAAATAGACCTTTTTCTGTATAGCAGGCGATATGAACACCACTGTATTAGTATTTTAAGCATTGCTTGAAGTATTTTTTTGTTTCTGTAAATAGTATTTATTGGATCTTCTGAGGCATAGGAACACAGTTATAAGACACGCCAGGTGTTCTGCCACAATAGTTGATACACATGAGGATTCTCTACTCGATGTAGCTCAGATGAAGAAAATGATTACCTACTGCTACTCTCATACCCATCCTGTGCCTTTAATCCCTCTCAAGAATAAAAAGTAGTCCTACAAATAAGCAATCAAAAAACTTTAAACTGTCATTAAATGATCTCTTCTAACAGATTTCCTAGTTTCCTATCTTAATGCCAAATGGTATTTAGAAGCATCAGTCCTTCACATTTTATTGATGAATACTGCAATAAGGAATTATTAAATTACCTAGTGGCAGGATTACAGTAGTGCATAAAGAATCATTTACTCTGAGACAGTAGCAAGTATTCTTTCTCATAAAAAGGATATTCAGATATCTTAATTTGAAAAAATTAACGTTAATGCAAAACGAGAGGAAGGAGAAGGATTTGATTCTTATCTAAGGTTTTATGTAGATGTCTTAAAGTTGTGACGGTGGATCACTTACATAGTTGATCTTCCTGAAGAAGAGAACATGGAAAGTAATGCAGGGTGACTAAGCTCTGAGTTTGCTTTTCAGTCTGGATGTGAAATACTCACTTGTTGAAGCTGGCCTGTCTATTAAAAAAGATGTTCAGATATTGATGGATATGAATGGCCAAACACTGTACACATATCACCTGGTGTTAGCTGGAGTGTGTAAAATTCTTCTACTCGGTTTCCGAGAGAGAAAATTTAAAAGGACTTGTGATTCTTATGCCATGTTTGGTAGAGAAACAGTTTGAGACCAAAGCTGGAAGGATAGTCTGACAATTTTGTGATCTGTTTCTAGGAACAAATCTGAGATTATTGAAATAACTTAACTTTGATTGTACTTTGGTGCAGAGAGAATACATGTTTATGAAGATAAAAAGGAAGCTCTCCAAGCTGTTAAGATGATTAAGGGTTCCCGTTTTAAAGCTTTTTCGAACAGAGAGGATGCTGAGAAATTTGCTAAAGGAATCTGTGATTATTTCCCATCTCCAAGCAAGTCCTCTTTATGTTTGTCTCCAGTGAAAATGGGATCGTTTAACAGAGGTAAGTGAGGGTGTTCATCTGTGCACAGTAGAAGCAATATACAATCTGTTAGTTTTTTATGAGAGAAGAAGCAACAACTTCATAACCAATATACTAATAACAGAAAAAATTTCAAAGGGTGAAGCATCTTAATAAATTGAAGTCCCTTTAGAGTGGTGGTGTTTAAGATAAGCTGTAAACAAATGTTAGATCACAGCTCCAGAGCTTATTCACCAACTTAAATCACTGTATAAATAGATAGGACAACCAGTATTTAATTACATTTTTTTCTGTTAAATAAATCAGAAACGGGCAATAAAAAGCATATTTTAATTTTTTAATTCAAATCTGGTTTTACACCTGTATAAAATGATACTGTCACTGGAGGAGTCATCCTTAAAGTTAATTGATGCTTTTCCAAGAGAGGAGCACCAAAGTTTATATACAGAAATAAAAAAAGTAGGGTATGTTGGAATCCTGCCATTTCTTTTATAAAGAACTACCACAGAAGTAGAGTCGAGTCCCAGGAATCTATGTAAAGACTGCTTTTTGTGTTTTAAAGCATAAGGTTCGGCCTTCAATGTATGGTTTCTATGGTCTATGTTATGATAAAGTAAACTGGTTACTTTTAAAAGCAGTTGTCGTTGTTCTGGTTTGCATGAATTTTACACTAAAAAATGTTGCTATTCTTCTAAAGCTGAAATGTTGGTAATGGCCCGCATAGATACGTTGCTTAGTAGTCTATGGTTATATTTGGTAGGATTTTATTTTACTCATGGACTTCAGGATTTTCAGGTTTAATAAGACGCTGATAAAATTGCACAGTATATTAAAACTGTACTTAATTGTTAAGTAAGTTCAGAAATAAAATAGTAAACACTGATCATATTTCAGTGTTCCTAGTTGCTAGATTAAAGGGACTCAGTAGTCACAGAACTGCAAAAGCAATTTTAATATTCAGAAATTTCTTACTTCTTGTTGAATTTTGCTTTTAAGTTTGGATGGAAGCAGATTGGTAACTATAAAATTTACCAGTGCCTATTAAGTCTGAAAGAGTTTTACAAGACGATTAAGTCATATTCTCCTCCCTCCCTATTACTAACTACTAGTATTTTTAAATGTCTTGTCATTGACCTCAATTTTTTTACTCCTCTACATTAAAGATGCAAAGTTAATACATATTTTAGATTAAAAGCTTATTTTTATGGTCTGGGTATGAAAATAGTGATCACTGAAAAGCTTGTATCTAGAAACATGTTACTTGTGTTTCGATAGATGGCTTATGCTCCCCTGAGACCGAAACTGCTAATAAGGAGCGAGCCAACAGTTACAAAAGTCCACGTACTCAAGATCTTACTGCTAAACTTCGGAAAGCTGTCGAGAAAGGAGATACAGCAACGTTTTCAGAACTTATTTGGAGTAACCCTCGCTATCTGATTGGGTCAGGAGACAATCCAACAGTTGTACAGGTAAAAAAAAAAAAAAGAAAAATCCAAGTTCTGGTTTAGTGATTTAGCTTTGAGGCCTGATAAGCGGAACTGGAAGGAATGTTGTTTCCTACTCTTCCTTCAAGATATCTTGTTTCACCAGTGCAAAGTTTCTCAGTGTTTATTGATACTAGCTGAAAGCCAAGAGAAACGTGGCAGTTGTCTGTCTTGCGTAAGTAACCCATCATAACTGAGAGTTCCCTTTGCTCCAGAAGAGCTAAAGTAAAGAAACTGAGTATGCAGTTCTTCAGGGGAAGAATAGTTTTATCCAGTAGTGAAAGAATAGTCTTGTCTTCATGTAGTATTGATCTCCTCCAAATGATTCCAGTCTTTTTTAAATAGAATGATTTTAAGGAACGGGGTGGCGCCTAGGCTTGTAGCTTTCTGTTCCTACAGTGCTGCTTACCTCGGCACCAGCATTAAATTTCAAAATGTGCTCTGCATCTAAAATCCATGTATAAGATACCGTTTAGCAGATACTGACAATCTTCCTTTAACAAATGACTTCTATCAGACCAGCTTTGTGAAGTTGTTGAAATTTTGTATGTAATATATTACAGCAAACTGAATTTTTTTTAATATATATATACACACACCCATTTTCCTGCTCTTTTTATACACTGAACTTCCCATCTCCTTGTATTATGTGATGTCTTAATATACCTTCTTTGCCACATTTTTGCCCTAGATGTCAAAAAATACCATAGCTGAGTATAAGAATAATTTCGTTAATTGTAAGAATAATGTGGGTATAAAGATGCATAAGTCTTTACAGTATCATATAATTTACTGCAGTTCTGAATGTTTATGTACTGTTTTGTAAACATCTTTTCCTAATAAAATACTAAGAAACAAAAATCTAAATATAATCCTCAGTGTGGGAACCTTTGTGTTTTCACAGTTAAATCAGCTAAGCGTATGGCCGTAAGAAAGCTGTTTAGATTTCAGTTCATTCTAATGTTCGTCTTTTTTTCCTCCAGGAAGGCTGTAGGTACAATGTCATGCATGTTGCTGCCAAGGAGAATCAACCTGGTATCTGCCAATTATTACTGGACACCTTGGAAAACCCTGAATTTATGCGGCTTATGTATCCAGATGATAATGATGTAATGTTGAAGAATCGCATCCAATATATTGTTGACCTTTACCTTAATACACCAGATAAAATGGTGAGATCTGAACGTTTGCCAGTTTCTTATTATGGAAACAACTGGAAGGTGTTAAGGATGTGTAAAGGAGAAGGAAAGAGAATAGAAGGGGACACTTCCAGCAAAATGAGCTATTCATGAGTTTTGTGGGTTTTGATAACCACTTTTCTACAGTATGGTGGGAAAAGATCTATTAAGAGCCCTGATAATTAGTCATTACATTTATTTACTTTTCCCAGTCTCAAAATGAAGTATGTGGGATTGACTTTATCACGTTTCCAAATGCATGTGAATTTTCCCTTTTTCCCACTGCAGGGATTTGATACTCCATTGCATTTTGCCTGCAAATTTGGGAATTTGGACGTTGTTAACGTACTTACCTCACACCCAGCTATTGTAAAAAATCCAAGAAACAAATATGATCAAACTCCAGCAGAAGTAAGTCTCGCCATGTCCACAACAAAACCAAAAATGTTATGTCTAATCAATATTTTTCAAGTTCAAATGTTTATTAACAACTGTAGATAGAAGGCTTGTCATAAGATACTAGTGTCACGATTAGAGTGTAAATCTTTGATAACATTAAAAATATTTTATGTTGATTGTATCTGGGCAAAATTTCTAGATTTTATGATTCACTGCCTTTTCCTTACAGTATCCCTTTTATGGACGTGGATATATTTTAGTGGTTTGTTCGACTATGAAAAGTACTGGATGAGATGGGTAGAGGCCAATAATGTGACTATTCAAAAAGAACACACATTGCAATTGATTCGAGATTGATGTCTTGTGCTTTACTGACAAACAACTAAAATTATATTAACAGGTAGTTTGTGAAAGAAGCAAGAGTAAATCTGCAGAACTGAAAGAAAAACTAAGAGAGTACCTGAAAGGTCTGTATTCAGAGTTTTATACTATATCAGGCATGTATTTTGGCTCTTTGCTGTCTTCTATTCTGTTTGCTTTCTGTAGCATTCCTGTTCATAAATGATGCTACTGTACAGTGCTGTGAAAACCAAAGAGAAACTCTAAAACTGACGAGGAACAGAAAACTTCTAAATTACATGGTCAGAACTCTTTACTGTATGGATCACGAGGTTATCCTCATAGATCTGAAATGTAGGCATGGCCCTTATTTTATTCAGCGAGCCTGAAGCAGAAAGCTTAATCTAAAAAGCAAACAAAAGACCTTTACAGAGCAAGAGATTTGTCACACTGGGGAGTCGTGTAATTTCTTTGACATAGAACTTTTCACTGTTTTGTCACGTGTGGGTTTAGGCATTTGCAAAAGGAGGTTTTGAAATTTGTTGAAGATCCTTAGGGAAGGGATATATGTATCAATGCAGGTATTTTTGTATTTGAGAGAGAAGGGAGCCTGTACTAAAATACAATCTATAAGCAGGCAATAAATACTGAAACAGTGAGTTTGAATTACAAGTAGTTTTACTAATGAAATAAAGTCAGATGGTTAAGTATACGGGTGTATTGACATTCTAGGAAGAAGCAGCAGGATAATGTAACATAAGCTTCTTAAGAAAGCTTTGTATTATTTATTTTAGGTCGATACTATGTACCACTCTTGAGAGCAGAAGACAATTCCTCAGCTCCTGTAATCGGTGCACCATGGTCACCCGATCAGACAGACGACAGACGATCCCCCAAAGAACTTTATCTAAATACCCTGGCAGCCCCAAAGATCCGGTGTTGTCGATAAGAGCTTTTGCAGGCCCCATGAGCCCCTCAAAGGTAAGGAGAGAACTTCTTATGACTCTAATGCCTATGTTTTTCTTTTCTTTTTTTTTTTTAAATAAAAAAACATTGAAGATCCACCCACGGTTCGTTGTGTGGTGTAGCTTGCTCCTGTTACAGATTGTGGCGCTCTTTTTCTTGAAGAGATGGATCTTCCTCCGTAGAGAAGGATAAGCACAGAAACTTCTAAATATTTTTTATTGCTGAAAACATAGAAAGGTGTAGCGTAAATAAGAAGAGTGGAAGTTCAGTCAGAAAATAAAAAAACACTGAAGATCCACCCACGGTTCGTTGTGTGGTGTAGCTTGCTCCTGTTACAGATTGTGGCGCTCTTTTTCTTGAAGAGATGGATCTTCCTCCGTAGAGAAGGATAAGCACAGAAACTTCTAAATATTTTTTATTGCTGAAAACATAGAAAGGTGTAGCGTAAATAAGAAGAGTGGAAGTTCAGTCAGAAGAAAGTTGTTCTTTTCTTTTTCCTGCTGGAATCTATTTGAAGAGCACTCTTTGACAAACTCTTTCGTTGTCTTACAGATAATTGCTCTAACTTTCTAATCTGAAACAAAGCCTTTCAATGTGGCTATGAATCAGTTCAAAAAAATCTTAACTATATCTTTATCTCACTTCTAGAAATTGACACTGGATGTTAAAAGCAGTTTAACACCTTTGCTCATTCAATTAACATTAATATTTTTTTCTAAATGGAAAAACTGACAACCAAGTAGTAGGTGTTGGGATAGTTTTGGAGAAGTATTGCTTGTGTTAGTAGAAAAGCAGTCTTTAGTTTTCAGGAGGAATACTTAGATGCCAGTTAAATATATTATAAATATACAGGCATTTCTTTGACTCATCTGTTTAATATGAACATGCTGGAAGCGTGACAGCTTTAGAAATAGTGAATACGTACAATTGAGGACTTTCTGTCATCTAATGCTTGAATTCTTCCAGGACTGAGTTTAACCAAAATGCCTAATGCTTTTTCTTCTGAATATGCTCATTGATCAATTTTCTGTTCACCTGTGACAGAAATAAATATATTTTATACTCTGAAAAATTTTACCTAGGGTGTATACAATGCCTTATGATTGTTGACAGATACTTTTAATGTCTGATGATAAATCTTAGCCATTGTTGCTGATTTTTGTCATATAAAGGCATAAAGTTTGGGATTTTACAAAAACCCATTAGTTTATTCCCTTTAGCAGTTCAAATTCAAACTTCAGAATAAACAGCAAGAGTATATTCACCAAAATGCCTAATGCTTTTTCTTCTGAATATGCTCATTGATCAATTTTCTGTTCACCTGACAGAAATGTAAATATATTTTATACTCTGAAAAATTTTACCTAGGGTGTAAACAATGCCTTATTGTGATTGTTGACAGATACTTTTAATGTCTGAATGTAATTCTTAGCCATTGTTGCTGATTTTTGTCATATAAAGGCATAAAGTTTGGGATTTTACAAAAACCCATTAGTTTATTCCCTTTAGCAGTTCAAATTCAAACTTCAGAATAAACAGCAAGAGTATATTCTAATAATTGTAGCAAGTCTGTGGAACTAAATACACACGTATAAAAATATGACCTTTGCATCCTAGAAACCAGTGACCAAGAGAGCATTTATCATTAAATAAAATTATAATGGCATGGGAAAATTATAAGACATAGCTGTTTCCTGCTGCACACAAATTAAAATCAGGCAAATTTAGTATCTATACAGTTTACTTCAAGGTGGTTATACATTATGGTCCTTACTCTTTTAATAAGCAGTTATGAGATCAAAGTAACCAGTAATACTGGGAGGAGTAACTAGAGAGCATTTATCATTAAATAAAATTATAATGGCATGGGAAAATTATAAGACATAGCTGTTTCCTGCTGCACACAAATTAAAATCAGGCAAATTTAGTATCTATACAGTTTACTTCAAGGTGGTTATACATTATGGTCCTTACTCTTTTAATAAGCAGTTATGAGATCAAAGTAACCAGTAATACTGGGAGGAGTAACTTCAGCTCCAATATGAGATTCTTCATAGCTAGAGTTGAGCAATACTTGTGGCAGAACTTGAGTTGTTTACATGTAGACAGCAAACAGCTGAATGTCTTGTAGACCTATAGGTGGACATTGAGCCAGCACTGAGTTAGCTTCATATTGTGGGGGGTAGGGTTTTTTAAAATTATTTCTGTTTTTTAAAGGCCGAAGAATTTCGCAGGCTTTGGAAGACTCCACCTCGAGAGAGAGCTGGCTTCTTTCACAATGTCAGGAAATCTGATCTGGAGAGAGGTGTTGAAAGAGTTGGAAGGTATCTAAAAGAGTATCAGTATAAAAAATTAGCAATAGACAGAGCAATTAAAAGCAAAAGACTTGTGCTGAGCGTACAGTTATTACTTACTGAACAATCTTAGAGCAAAAGTTACTGGCAGAAATATTCATGAAGTATATTGTAGTTGGATTTTTACTGTATTTTTGTGTAAACAAAATAGCTAAAAATGTGAGAGCTAGCTTTCTTAGCTTTGGAAATAAAGAAAAAGGTATTTTAACTATTATTGATGGTATGTATAGAATGCTTTTCTCAAACGTTTACTTGCCTAATTTGTCAGAGGATCTGAAATTATGTGTAGCCTACTTTTTCTGGAAAATTGAGGGATTGTTAAAAAGAGAGCAGAATGAAAACGTCCTAATACAAATGTTCTGCTTTACAAAAGCTGTGTGTTGCTGATTAGATTCTTTCTTTAAAATAACCCCTCACTTCCTCCTACCTTCTCCCATTCCCGAATAATGTTGAATCGAGTATCATTCAAATTATGCCTACGTCAGGCGTCAGGCATCTCTGTCTGATGTCAGCTTAAAAATAGCAGTACTTATGGTGCTAACTTTAAGAATAGTAGATTCAATTTGAAAAACAGTCTAGAAAAAAATCAGATGATACTGTGTTTGCTAAGGATGTGTATATCTCGCTTTTGCAGACTGTTGATTGTTGCGGAATTGTGTTGCCTAGTTGCACGTTTATACTCCTATTAATAGCTGATAAAATGTGTTCAGAAAAGTTATTGTCAAACTAATATTTATGTCTTCACAAATGATTCGTTTTATTTTATTTATTGCAGGGAGTTAGCTCATGAACTGGGGTTCCCGTGGGTTGAATACTGGGAATTTCTGGGCTGTTTTGTTGATCTGTCTTCCCAGGAGGGGTTGCGAAAATTAGAAGAGTACCTGAGTCATCGGGAAATGAGCGAAAAGGCTCAGCAAGAAACAGGGGAAAATGAAACCTGCAATAGATACAAAACTCCACATCCTTCTGGTAAGAGAAAGGCAAATGCTACGAACAACAGGTTGTACCTGGGGAGAAGAGGGAGAGCAAAAGCTTGGTGCCCAGGGGAAGTAGTATTCACCTGTTGTGGTTGCTATTATTAATCTGTTATCCAAACAGTCTGATTATAGTATTGAAAAAGCAGCTAACAACACTGTGAATGTAGGAGAATTAGAACAGACCTCGTTAGTTGTTCGTTATCTTTCATATGAAGTACTTTATTTGATTGTAGCCCCCAGGTGAAATTCCCATAAGAAAACCTCTATCTTCAGTATGTTTTTACTCAGAGCATTTGGGAATTTGTCTTAGAGCATAGAATTTTGTAATCCACAGATACGGAATAACTAACTTCTTTAAAATAAAGGAATCATTCTTTACAGTTGAGGGTGAAAGACACACTGAACAAAACCCAGGAAAGGTTTTACACCTTCTTAGACCGCTGCTTGCCATGTGTTTATGGAAGGCACACGCTAGTCCCAAATCTTTGTGCTCCTTCCTCCTTCTTTCCTGTGGTTATAGATCTGAAGGAGCTTTGGTACTGGGATAAACCTGGACTGACAAGACCCTGAAGGATAGTCATAAGCCTCTGTGCTTTGGAAGAGATGAAAACTTAAGCTATTTGATATTAGCGACATTTTTTCCTACCCTATTCTGCTTTATCCTGACTTCGTTCTTTGTTGCTGGTTAATGATTGAAGTGAGGAGTGTAGGAAATACAGGTCTCAAATGGCTAGGATATAAAAGGTTATGTGCAAAAAAAAATACAGCCGTAATGTCACCATTTTGCATTTGTAGCTTTAGTTAGGTTAGTTCATGCTGTTGCATAAATAAAATTAGAGAGGGCTTCAATAAATAGAATAAGGCATAAAGATTGTGTATTTGCTCCTAGTTTATTTGATTGGCATCTTATGTGTTGCTCTTATTAAAATTGTTTACAGGCAAGAGTAAAAAGTGCTGCAATTCTATTTCTGTTGGAGCATTTTTGGATGAGGATGATGATGACATGAGCTTAGAAGAAATTAAAAACAGACAAAATGCAGCACGGAATGTCAGCCAACCTATTGTGTCCAAAGAACCTAGCATTGATGCTATTGGAGACGCCGAGTGCGATATCTTGTCAATGGAGCGTGCCGTAAACATTATAGAAACATCAGATCACCCCAGGCACTATGAAAAGGCGGTTTCTTCCAGCAAAAATGGATTTTGTAATCCTGTGTCTAGTGAAAAGAAAATTAGTGACAGAAAGCATTTGCATGATTGTTAAAAAGAGAGCAGAATGAAAACGTCCTAATACAAATGTTCTGCTTTACAAAAGCTGTGTGTTGTGGAATGTGTCCTTGCTATTAAAATACCTTGTATCAGCAATATGTGGAAAAAACATACATTTTTAAAAGCTGATTAGATTTCTTTCTTTAAAATAACCCCTCACTTCCTCCTACCTTCTCCCATTCCCGAATAGAAAAAAATGTTGAATCGAGTATCATTCAAATTATGCCTACGTCAGGGGGGATTCATCTCTGTCTGATGTCAGCTTAAAAATAGCAGTACTTATGTTGCTAACTTTAAGAATAGTAGATTCAATTTGAAAAACAGTCTAGAAAAAAATCAGATGATACTGTGTTTGCTAAGGATGTGTATATCTCGCTTTTGCAGACTGTTGATTGTTGCGGAATTGTGTTGCCTAGTTGCACGTTTATACTCCTATTAATAGCTGATAAAATGTGTTCAGAAAAGTTATTGTCAAACTAATATTTATGTCTTCACAAATGATTCGTTTTATTTTATTTATTGCAGGGAGTTAGCTCATGAACTGGGGTTCCCGTGGGTTGAATACTGGGAATTTCTGGGCTGTTTTGTTGATCTGTCTTCCCAGGAGGGGTTGCGAAAATTAGAAGAGTACCTGAGTCATCGGGAAATGAGCGAAAAGGCTCAGCAAGAAACAGGGGAAAATGAAACCTGCAATAGATACAAAACTCCACATCCTTCTGGTAAGAGAAAGGCAAATGCTACGAACAACAGGTTGTACCTGGGGAGAAGAGGGAGAGCAAAAGCTTGGTGCCCAGGGGAAGTAGTATTCACCTGTTGTGGTTGCTATTATTAATCTGTTATCCAAACAGTCTGATTATAGTATTGAAAAAGCAGCTAACAACACTGTGAATGTAGGAGAATTAGAACAGACCTCGTTAGTTGTTCGTTATCTTTCATATGAAGTACTTTATTTGATTGTAGCCCCCAGGTGAAATTCCCATAAGAAAACCTCTATCTTCAGTATGTTTTTACTCAGAGCATTTGGGAATTTGTCTTAGAGCATAGAATTTTGTAATCCACAGATACGGAATAACTAACTTCTTTAAAATAAAGGAATCATTCTTTACAGTTGAGGGTGAAAGACACACTGAACAAAACCCAGGAAAGGTTTTACACCTTCTTAGACCGCTGCTTGCCATGTGTTTATGGAAGGCACACGCTAGTCCCAAATCTTTGTGCTCCTTCCTCCTTCTTTCCTGTGGTTATAGATCTGAAGGAGCTTTGGTACTGGGATAAACCTGGACTGACAAGACCCTGAAGGATAGTCATAAGCCTCTGTGCTTTGGAAGAGATGAAAACTTAAGCTATTTGATATTAGCGACATTTTTTCCTACCCTATTCTGCTTTATCCTGACTTCGTTCTTTGTTGCTGGTTAATGATTGAAGTGAGGAGTGTAGGAAATACAGGTCTCAAATGGCTAGGATATAAAAGGTTATGTGCAAAAAAAAATACAGCCGTAATGTCACCATTTTGCATTTGTAGCTTTAGTTAGGTTAGTTCATGCTGTTGCATAAATAAAATTAGAGAGGGCTTCAATAAATAGAATAAGGCATAAAGATTGTGTATTTGCTCCTAGTTTATTTGATTGGCATCTTATGTGTTGCTCTTATTAAAATTGTTTACAGGCAAGAGTAAAAAGTGCTGCAATTCTATTTCTGTTGGAGCATTTTTGGATGAGGATGATGATGACATGAGCTTAGAAGAAATTAAAAACAGACAAAATGCAGCACGGAATGTCAGCCAACCTACTGTGTCCAAAGAACCTAGCATTGATGCTATTGGAGACGCCGAGTGCGATATCTTGTCAATGGAGCGTGCCGTAAACATTATAGAAACATCAGATCACCCCAGGCACTATGAAAAGGCGGTTTCTTCCAGCAAAAATGGATTTTGTAATCCTGTGTCTAGTGAAAAGAAAATTAGTGACAGAAAGCATTTGCATGATGGAGAAGAATGCCTTGTATCGCCCGTTTCCAATTTAATGTCAGAATTTGAAAGCCTGTCATTCCAAGAACAAGAGGTGGCAGGAGAATCAAGTAAAATCACTGACAAAACTGAGAATGAGAGAGTTCTGGCTGAAGGAACAAGTCACATGAGAATATCCAAGGACCATCTGGATAAGACCTGCTATGCAGTTTCACTGGCAAGTTCTTCTGAGCCAAGTGTTACAGGTAAACCTGGAGAGACCAAGTTAAGGACAGAACACACAATACCATCAGAAAAGGAGAGACTGTCCATGGAATCTGGAATTCAGACCAATGAGGCACAACAACGTCAAGAACTTTCTTCCCAGAAATTTATTTTGAAGGTTTCACCCGTAAATGACAATTCTAAGAAGTTATTCCTGCTTGGGTAAGAATTGTCTTTTTTTAACACTTACTTGTCCTTTGGTTTATGTATGCAAAACAAGATGCTTTTTGTAATGTCACTGACAGCAAGGTTGAGATTGTGTGATACTAAGCAACACAAGTTGCAGTCAGCCTTGAGTGGTCATCTTAAAGCGCTTCAATGCTTGTACAGTAGCCATACAGTTCTCTTGCGACTAATTACCTGAATACCAGATCTAAAACGGAAGGAAGAAGGAGAGAAGTCTGTTTCCAAATCAGTTTCAGTTAACTTCGCTATTTACCATTCATCTGACAGGCTTGTGACTTCATGACAAGCCTGACTTAGATTAACAAAGTGTTGACTACCCTCTTGGGATGTCCTCAGGTTAAATTTTCAAAACTCTTATTTTATGAGACTACTGAGTGGTAATGGACAGTCACTTACATGTGGGCCTGCTGGAAAAAGTCATAGAGAAACTATGTTTATAGAGGAGCATGGGCAATTTGTGTGCTTATATCAAAAATAAATGTTTTGGAACTGGGATGTTTTATTGCCTGAACAAATACATAGTTCTCTTTTCATCTAGTTCTGTTTATATTCTAGGGAGCAGCCCTCGAAGCTGGATAGTGATGTCTTAGCAGCTATAGAAGCAGTAGAGATTGATCCACAGAAATACCCGATTATTTACAAATGGAAACACATGGTGCAGTCATACTCTTCATCTGACAGGCAAAGGTATTTCTGCAAATTCAATGAAACGAGTTAAATAAAATTTTTAGCAGGTCAGCTGCAGAACAGCTTGAATAGCTAGAATTTCAGGCCTTGTTGCTCACAAAAGCCTTGTTTTAAATATTCAACTGTATTAACTATTAGTGTGTTTCTGAAATTAATCACCAAGCCTTTTTGGCTGGTGTCTATTAATAAGGAAAGTTTACTGGTGCTGCAGTCAAATTCCTTCCATGACGCTGCAGTTCCAAATAACTTCAGCACATCTATGCAGACAAATCAGGCAGAAAATGAAGGTCTCGAGACCGTAAGTGTTTTCCAGTTGGCAAACGTCTCAGTTTGCTGATTCATTACTTAGTACTTGGATCCTTCATTGGTCTTAATGGTAGTTGTGAGGTCAGTTGGGAATTCATCCCTGTTGCGGATGCAGTGCAAGAATGTTGTATTGCTTTGAGGTACTTCGGTTGCGCAGAGTGATGTTAAAGTGAATTTAATATCTTCAGGCATCTTTTTACTACTATTTTTATTTTTACCCTCTATTACCCCAGTCCAAAGGAATTGTTAGTGTGAACGATGGTGCGTGTTAAGTTTTTAGAGAGAATGTCATGTTTTGTTACACAAATAATGGAAGCAGACTGCATCTGTTGGGACGCCTGAACATGTTACGCCATTTATACGTTTTATTTTGAATGCTGTTGCTTTTGGGGACTCAAAGCAACGGTTTTCATACAAGTGGCGATTTCTGGTAATTGTATTTATGTCATGTTGTTACACAAATAATGGAAGCAGACTGCATCTGTTGGGACGCCTGAACATGTTACGCCATTTTTATTTTGAATGCTGTTGCTTTTGGGGACTCAAAGCAACGGTTTTCATATTTCATACCATTGGTCAGAACACTGAAGAGTCCCTTGCTTAGGCAGCCTACAATTTATATATAGCCATGATACAGTTCTCAGAAAAGAAACATGACCCAGTGCCACACAACAGATGGGAAAGGGGGCAGGAACAGAAAGCCATCAAATGACCTGTACTGACTTCTGTTTTTTTCTCGTTTCTTCTAGCTTTCTTAAATGCATGAAATTCCACTTATAAATTATGAGAACTATTTCCACTAAGAAGTTCTCAATATAATATTAAACATTAATTTTTCAGAACATGCGTTAAAGACAGAACCTTTAAAGCTCTGTCAGAGCTTGTGAGAATTTTAAAAATATAATGGACTGGCTTTATTGGCCACAAAATTCAGAGTAGGAGTTGGGAACCAGCAGCTGAGAAGCACAACTGTGTTAAGTTAGCAGAGATTGGAGCAGGAGGAATGTTGTGGAAAGAGTTGAAACAACATGTGACAGGGCTGAAAGAAGTGCAGATGGTAAGTGGAAGGAGAGCTACTGCCCAGTGCTAAGCACTGGGAAAGAAAGCAGCTTTCTTTTGTCTCGGTATTTCAAATAGAGCACTGAAGTAGGGCCATCAAGTATAGTTCTAGAAGAAACGCAAAGCTCACCAAGAGTTTTCTGTGATTTAAAGTGGAGTCGAAACAGGGAAATACTTTCATAGACCTGCTTGATACGGTGTTCTTGTACCACTTCACTTTTCAAAGTCGAATTCTCTTGTCCCCTGATTTTTGTGATTAATTTTTTGAAAGAAATAGGCTAATTATTAGGCTTTTTTCGTTCTTATTCCACTGTCTGAAAGGTCTAAAGTGCTAAAATTTAACACAAGATTTTTAGGTGTAGTCCCTGTTCTATCACATAAGTAAAAGCGATGGCTGTAATTATTTGATAATGCCAAGGCTTGCGCTGCCAGCCCTCTTAATTTTGCAGTGCCACCTCTGCCAAAAGCGAAGAAATGACGCACTAGATCACTTTGTGTTTAGGTATGTAGGATTTTGACTGCAAAAATCAGACCTAATGATACGGATAGCAGTACGTCTGTCAGAAGAAAGTTATTTTCAAAAGGTTTTAAATAAGCTGTGTGCATGCGTAGCTTTCACCGTTGGGGGGGTGTTATTTATTTATTTATTAAAACCTTATAAAATATCTTTAGCTTATAGCATGTTTTCTGTAGTGGCTCATCTCAAGAAATTGCCTCACGTGTAAAAGAAAGAACGGGAATGATTCACATATGCTAGAATCAACCTTTGGTCATTCTGCCTAGCTTAAGATAGACTTTAGAGAAAAAGGAAAGGTTTTTACAGAAAAGGTTTTTTTAATTTAACAAAGGAAATATTTTGCTCTGCTTTCAAAGAAATTTTAGATCCTAGTTCTCATTGATTTAAGAAAAAAATCTGACACTTACTGTGCAGAAAAATGGTATTACTTCTGTGGCATCCAAACACCGAGATTATTTTTAAAGAGGGGGGAAATCGTGCCCAGCAGTAGCTGCGGCACTAACCAAGACCAGGTCAGCTTTGATCTTGATGCCCTTTTCTAATGGGGGCGTTGGACTAAAATTAAATTGTCCGGGTCACAAGCACCCGTTTCTTTTCTTTATGGCCATTTTGCAGCAACTGACGTTGTACTGATGAGGCAACGTGTCTGCATGTAATATATTGTGCTGTCACGGTTTCTTCTCAGACCTGTCGCGTACCAGTTATGATTCTTCTCTGCGGGTGCATTATTTCTAAGACCTACAAGTGATACTGAGTGAAAGTACTGCTCTCCTTATTGCAGTTTTCTTAACAACATGCAAAATGACTTTGTTTCTTTCAGTTGGCCAAGTCCAGCACTGAAGGCAAGATTCAAGTCCCAAACCATCGCTGCTGGCCTTCCAAATGCTTCAGTGTATTCTAATTCAGGAAGAAATAGTCCCGTAACAGGAAGTCCAGGAAAACACGGCAATGCCACCTCGTTCTCTCCAGACCCCGGCAGTCCTGGGCGCTACAGTCCAGCTTGTGTCAACCAGGCTCTGTTAAAACTGCGTTATTTTTCAGAGCCTCCGGCCCACTAAAATAGGATTCATCCTCCTGGGACTTCAATTGTATTTTCATTGTTAGAGTGGAGGAAAAAAACTACAATGTTACTGAAGTGACATGAGGTTTGTACTTGGCTATTTATTTTTCCTCAACTGAGGACAACTGTATGTTAAAAAAAAATGGAATATATGTCTTTATGCCATATACAAGATAGATTACTGGTGATACGCAAGAAGTTAGTGACAGTCAGTGCAGTTGTCCAGTAGCTCTGAATTAACCCTTGTTGCCAGTAAAGCAGCGAGCTGAAGCTTTACTTAGAAATGGTGGTATTTTACTATCACCAGTTGTCATTATTGTGATGAACCCGTTAGCCCTCAACTGCATTTCTTTTGCTTGGGTAGTCTGGAGGAAGCACATCATCAGTAAACAGAAATCTTACTGAGAGTAAATTGATGGCAAGAAACAAAACGTTCTTCCCCTTGCAGGGGGAATGCTCAAAGTGAAAAGCCTAAAACAAAGCCTGGGTAACAACAGCTTTCCAGTACTGGGCATGAATGTGAAACCCTGTGCATGAACAGAAAGTGAGTGTTCATAGCCACAGTTTGGTCTAGACAGTGGAATACACAGACACACACACTCTCTCTTAGATGTATGTGTGTACGTATGCATGTATTTACACAGAAAACCTTGAGTCTTTGCTTGTTCTGAGGCTGTTAAAAACACCGTGATACACTGAGTGTTCTAGTAAAAGGGCACTATAGAAATTACTGGTATTCCTTTAAATGTTAGTTTGAAGATTAAAAAAAAATATATAAAAATCAGCAGGTTTTTTTCCCGCAGAAGCTTTTAACGTTAGCAGATTTAATAGTTATTACACAAAAGCACATCAGCAATAATTTCAGCAAATTTACCAGCAAGATACCTTAAGGGTCTCGTTTGTAATATATTAGAGTGGTAGCCAGTGACTCATGATGTGGCTCCTTATTTCCCAACTGTAAAGAGAGAGGAATAAGGACTAAAAATATTTTTATTGGAATCTAAGCTTTTACTATGTCTCTAGTCTTGATGTGGTAATGAGGTTTTGTTACAGCAGTCAGTAGTTTTATTCTTTAGCCTTCTGTAAGAATGACTTGTTTTGATGGTACGATGCCGAGATTGAAGAAAGCTCAAAACTCCAAGGCGGTTTTTCATATCAAGCTTAATGATGTTGCTTGAAAGAAGGCTTCCAGAAACAGAGTTCTCCAGTGTTGCTAGCTTGCTAGTTAAAAAAAACCAAACAAAACCACCTCTCTATTGTTACAAGGTAAATCTGATCAGAAAATTAAATCGGCCAGGGCTGTGCTGGTAGAAAGGGGTGGATTTGGATTCACTGGTGCCACACAGTGCGTGAGAAAGCATGGAACCTCCTTGGACACCCGTAAGCTCAGCCTGCGTCTCGAGAAGCTCTAGTCCAGGCAGGAGGGTGCAGTGCCAGCGGGGTCGGTCCATTTACCACCTGCGGGTCTCACCACTACAGAGGCTGGATTTCAGAATCCAGAGCTTGATCCGGTTGATGGCTGTTGTGTGCTGCGGAGTGACTGTTTCGTACACAAACTGTACACCCTTCAAGAGGTTGATGATTTGGTACAAACCTAAAAAAACCTGCACTTAATGCTTTTGCAAGCTTAATAGTGCCTTTTGTAACATATTTTTTTAATTAAATTTTTGTTCTTTTAGAAGTTTAAAAAAAAAGTGGCATCCACTTACTATGGGCACATAAAACAGTTTTTCTTCTGGGCTGTCTGAATGGAACGTATTTTAATGTCTCTCTCTCTAAGTTTGATTATTTGGTGTGATAGCTCTCTGCTGTTGGAGAATATTCCTCTTTTAGGAATTATTTTTAAAAAAGGCTTATTTACTCTTCCTTTATAATAAATTGAGCCTATTTCCAATGAGCTGGACACTAAAAGAGCTACTTCACACAATGACTGTCATCAGGTGATAATCCAGACAACCAGCTGGGGAGAGGAGGGGGGTCATTCTTTAAAACAAACCCCAAACCCCAAGCATAACCTGCTGTGTTACCGAGTATAATTAACTGACTTTTTCCTACATTTTTTTTGGTCTGCAGCAGTCTCTGTGGTCTCAAACAACTTTTTTAGGTCCCAAATTCCTACAGCTTTACTTTAAAGGGTTTTGGGGGTTTTGTTTGGGGTGGGGGTTGTCTGGTTTTGGTTTTTTTAATAATTCAATGTAAATGATGTCTTTGTCATTCTGGAGAAATGCTTCAGATGATGAGTAATGGCCTAATACCACGTTAAAGCCAAATTCCTGTGGTGAGTTTCTGTGCGTGTAGCTGCTGTTCTCCACCCTGGTCCTTCTTGAGCTGTCACAGGGCGACGTTGCCCTTTTGGTAAGAGTTTGTTACAGAGCCAGGAGACTGATACTAACGCTCTAGCTCTTCTTCCTTTTTGTCCTTTTTACCTTTGTTATGCTTCGCTTTCTTTTTTTAATATTTAAATGTATATTACTGGTATGTACATGTAGACAGAGACACACCCCACCCACGGCCACCACCATACCCTTGCCTTTCACGTTGTAATTTTGTTGAGTCAAGAGAATATTTTTTTTAACTGTTATATATAATGTACATTAGTCCAGTTGTACTGCATCCTAAGAGGTAATTTTTCTAACAATATATTTACTTCAGCTATTAAAAAAAAGTAGCAATTTATGTAGCGATTTGATTATTCATGATTGTGAAGAAAGCTCTTCCCCACTGAGCCTGTGGAGACACTTTAAATCAGATTGCTATTGCTTGAATTGTGTTTTCTTGGCCAAAAGTTCACTTTTAAAGGTGCAAAAGATTAGTTGTGGGGTTTTTTTTTTTTTTAATTAGCCAAGTGTCATGTTACAAATAGAGTTAACCCACTTTCTATTCAAAAATAAATGAGTAGCTAAAAGTGTCACACTGTGTTTAGTGTATGGGGCAGGGTGGCAAGTAGCTGGGTTGATAACTGATGTGGCCAATTACTAATGCGTCCAGACCTTACTAACGCAACTGCACCCACCGTTTGTGGGTGCGTGCACAATGACGTTGGATTACGCCACTGAAGACTTGAAGAACAGTCTCAAAATGCTGAAGAGAGAAGAACTCTGAATACTGTGAAAATTATGTACTTACTTAATTTTAAATTTCGAACCACCCCCCCCACCCCCCCCTCTTCACTCCAAGATGAATATTAGTTTCATTTCTGTACACGTGCGAAGAGGTGGTGTGTGTCCTCTGGATGCCCACCAGGAACCTATTTATTGGGAGGGGGGGGTAGAAGGGTGAGGGTATGTGAGAGGGTACATGTATGCACACACAGAGATAAAAACACACAATTTTCATCTTGGCCTGGAGCCAAAGGGCTATGACTAGAGTACGCAGTCCCCTCGTGTATGCGACTGTAGATGGTGACAGCTAACTCTGAGCTAGCTGTTCTCTCACGTTTACATTTCAGATATTTGGAGTTAAAAGGACAAAGCAGGTAAATGAAGTGTTGCCCCAGGCAATGTGGGATACAAAGGCTGCTCCTCAGCTGGCAGAGACACAGAGTCACTGCACCGCACTTCAGCCGTAGGTTCTGTAGCAGCTGGTCACACAAGTATTCAACTGAAGAGGCAAGAACAAAAGACAGACCAGTTGTTTTATTCAAAACTTTTAAAAAGTTAATAGACAAAAACTGATAAATTATTCTCATTGCATCAATGAGAGATAACATCACGATGGTTTCCTCTTGCCCCCCACAACTTGCACTACACAATGATCGTGTTTTGTTCCCTACTAGCCCCATTTTCCTTGGAATCATCCTGATGTAGCAGTCCTGTACCAAACAAGCCACTAAACCTTGTCTCGCTAGTTGTGTGCTGTGATTATGCTTCATACAGCACTGACAGGAACGAGTTTAGGGTCTCGCCAACATTCTTGGTGATAAGAGAACCTGTCAAACAAGTTTTTATGTTTGCTGTCCTAGAGTACATGCTCTACCACCAAGGCAGACTATGAATACAGTGAAATTTTTCAACGTTCCAGGTGTTAAGTGAGCTAAGTTACTACACCGGTTTGGGTGCCGAGCAAACATCCTTAAGCTGAAATGCTTCTGAGCCCTCCCCACAAAAATGTAACCTAGTTCTTGGCCACTCGCATTTTTTTCCCAGACCAAGTCCAGCAGTGTCAGAGCTGCACAAAGGAGCCACTTAGAGCAGTCTGTACTACCCACTTGGCCTAGAAAAGCCATCCCACAGATAGATACTTTTTCACCACTCAGGCAGCAGTAGTTTTAAGCAGGAGTTTGCTCCAATACTGCAGAACCTCTGACCTGAAGTATCACCACCTTGGACTCAGTGGTGTTAATTTCTCTGCTCTGAAAGCAAGGTATCAACATACACAAATCAGTGGGAGAAAGCAGAAATGAAAGACTACACCTCAAAAACGTCAGAGTAACTGGAAGCACTTGCAGAAGATTGCTTTCATTTCCTTCCATCTTACTGCTACAAACTCATCCCTACATCCTTCTACAGGCCAAGTTTTAATTAAAGGCTTTACGAGACTGAAAAACATTATTCAGAATAGCTTAAAGAACTTCCTGAGGGTGGAGGAACACTTACTTACTTAATATAAGCAGCAGTTAATTCCAGCACCAAGCTCTGAGGCAAATGGTTTTTTTACCCTCTTTGCTTTATGCTTACAACCTCCAGGCACAGTTTACGTGAGCTTTTTGGGGGTAGAGGGGAACAGTGACACAACATAAACATACATCTTCAACAGCTTACAAAAACTGAAGCCTTATCCCTTTGTCCTTTGAACAGCAGAATACCCTGTTTGTCACTTCTGCGAGAGCTGAAACAAGCTGGCTCATCTTCAGTTTTAGCTGCAGCGTGATACAAGGCCGTTCCTTCCAGTTCCCCACCAATTGCTTTCCTGCACAAGAAAAATATCCACAGGAGCAAGCTTTGGTGTTAGAAATTCACGGGGCCGGGGAGGGGGGGAAGTCGGTGCTCTTGCAACTGCTGAGCACACAGACATTCAATCTCTTTGTATTCCACAGCTCAGCTTTGAGTTTTGGGGAATACTTGAGGATTGGGCAGCTTCAGGCTTACAAAGATTCCTTCTTTTCTGGACTGAAAGGCAGATACAAATATGTATGAAGGAGGCAAGGGGCTAAAGGACATTTTTAAGACAGCATCACACCCCAACATAACAGATAAAAACCTAGTGGTACTGTAGCTGAATGTACTAGTGCAAAGAGACTAGAGGCAGCTCCTGGACAGCCACCAGTTTTGCTCATTCAGGTGCGTGTGATTTTATCTGGAGGCATGAAACCTGTGTCACCCAGTGTTCGAAGTGCCACTCTTCCATTCGGACGTATCACCAAGTGAGTTATACTGCCATTGTTAAGAGACATTCGCAGCCAGCCTTCTGGGGGGAACTGCAATGCTCTATTAAAAAAAATAAAAATTATTCATTCATAAACAGTTATAATAACATGCCGCTCACAGCATCACCTGTTCCAGATAAGGAAAAAAAAAAAAAGAAAATTGTTGGTCATTCTGTAGCTTGCATGCAAATGCTCCCACAGTCAGCCTTGGAAAAAATATTTCTATTGCGCAATTGATATGAAAATGCAGCATTGATAACTGGACCAGTGCCAACAATGCACCTGCATAAGCAGAGTCCAGCAGATGGGTATGATTATTGTAGACAGAATTAATTCAAATCGACAGAAGGTAGAAGCTCTAACGTAGTCAGGTTGCTGGGAACGCTCTGAGCAACCTCATAACAAACAGGACAATAGATGGCATAGGTTCAAGCTGGTCACTGCGCCAACTGCAGTAGTACCACAAAACCCTGGGCAGTTCAGGAGAGGTAGAGAAGATGGCTCACCACCCCAATGGGCCCCCTCCGCAGACCAAAGGCGTAAGTGGCAAACAGCACACTTTTATGCACTATTTCAGCCTTATCAAGATAGGTAGGTACGTTAACAGCAGCGAAGAGGCAATGAGATAGGATTCATTCCACGTGCCTGTATGTGCCTATGGAAGAAATTCACCAGAACTACTTTCCATCAGCTATACTGATCCCCAGAAGTGGCAAGAAAAAGTACCTTGTGCTTTTTGTAGAAACAGTATCACAGCTAGTCTCCAGCTATTCTAAAATTCCTGACTGAATAGCCTCAGAAGTTCAATCAATCGTAGTAAACAGCTGGAGAAAATATGAAGTTGTCTCAAACATCTTTTGCCTCAGTTACCGAGGAATAACTTGGTTTTGGTTCTATGACTATCTTTTAGAAAGGCTAAGAAATTAATCAAGCTAGATTCAAAGGGAACGCTACATGGATTGTGTTCAACTGTGGTATCACATAGCCTGGAATGGAAAGCACAGAAGAGAAGTTAAAAAGAAGAGGGAAGAAACAGCAAAGAGAAAAAGTATACGGCTATTTCAGAAAAAGCCTAGGTAGCAGCAAGATGATCTCTTTTGGCACAGGAAAGAACATTCTGTTTACCTGATCAATGATATTAAATATAGCAATTTTGAAGAGCTCTAAAGCAGTCCACAGAGCAGACAGGCTAGCATTTAACTAGCTCAGCTAAATAAAGCTAACTGAAATTGTTGTAGGTATCGATCAGATTAAAGTTTAATCACATCTGTCCTGCTCGAGACAAATTATCTTACAGACAGTGCTTTGTTGATAGGGAAAAGGAATAAAACAGACTTAGCTGACTGGATACAGGGAAGGCAAAGATCCAGAACTGTTTTCTCCTTCATGAACAACCTTGATGTTAGCGGGAAGATCCACTCTCCCCTCTAATCCAATACTGGATGTTACTGCAAAACCACACTAATACAACTTGAACATAATACAAAAATTTCCATGAGTAAAGAATTCCCAAAACTAAATAAATCTTTCATTATGTAAGATCAAATTCACATCACCTCAAAAAAGTCACATCCAGTCAGACGCTCTATTTGTTGTCTTTTCCACCAGTCCACACAGGCATTGTCCTCAGGTTTATGGGAAGCAGAAGCATACGGTATTAAAGAGACTGTTCAGATGTACAAAAAGGTTTCGAGTCTCACCGATTTCACCATTTTCACTTTAGAATTAGAATGAAAATGTTCTAATTTTCAAATTTGTCCTCTATCTGCAAATTAATCCTGCGATGAAATTGCAGAAGCAGCTGCTCACAACGCAGGCACTGACCTCCAACCACTTCAAAGAAGCCAAATCAACACATCTCCTCGCTCAGTGGTGCCATACACCAACACTATTTCAGTGAAACTATGACCTTTTAAAGAACACAGATGAACATGCAAGCCAACACGTACCTGCACACAATATAGCGGATCACGTTGGCATGGCAGACGAAGATCTCGTAGCTGTCTTCTTCCTGCTTTGCGTCAGCTCTATGAATGAAGTTTCGAAAAGCAGCCTCAATTCGAGCTCCATCTTCATAATACTGCTAATGGCACAGAGTTCAGAATTAAACACAGCTCAGAGCAGCATGTGCCATTGTCTGCATTTGCAGATGGGCTGCGTCTTCTAGAGTTCTTCTTTACAGGGATGCACACTTGAGGCTGAACTAATACTTAAGGATTTTAAGTTATTTTAATTGTTCTGTACGCTTATTGGGGGTGGGGGGAGAAAAGAATGCAATTATCTAAGGTCTGTGATGAAAAGCATCAGCTCAGACACTGCAAGTTATCACTACAGTCAATATAAAGTACATTAAAAAAACCCAAAACAAATACAGAAAGAAAAAAAAAAAAACTTTAAGTAAAAAGTTACCACAGCTTCCGGTTTCCAGTGAGAGACTGGAGGGTCTGGTTCTATAGGTGCTCCCTCTCTCAGCAGATCAGTACTAATTTTTTTGACTCCTGAAATATTAAATACACATTCAGAAAGGAGTTGTTACTTCACCTGCCACTGCAAACAGACCCACAACTCTACAATCAATACATTTTTCATATTCTTTCTTCAAGGAGGTCTTCCTCTCCTTCCTAAAGGCCATTTTAGTTTACACAATTCCTATCAAGGGGGGTGAATCTCTCCAACACACCTGTTTTGTCATCAGCAAGTTTATTCCAGGTGAGAACAGCCAGACCAGCTTGGCACAGCAAGTCGAGTCCTCCCAGTCTGCTGCACTTTGAAGAAACGCCCTTGCAAGGGTGTTACTCTAAAGCTGTATGTCAGTTAATGCTTACTGCTAATTAACGTTAATGCTACACTTTTGATATTTAATATTTATATTAGTATTTTAACCTCTTACTCTGAAGAAGGGAAGATGGTTTGGGAGGGGGGTTGTTCGGTTTTGGGGGGGTGGTTTGAGGTTTTTTGTTCTGTTGGGTTTGGGGTTTTTTTTGAAGCAGCACATTTAAGAAAACAGACACAGAATGGTTAAGAGAACTGACATTCAGCTAGTCATACCTGAATATCTGCTAAAATACCAGACAGAATAATGTATAGTCAAGTATCTTTAGCTTAGATTCTGGTATGTCTGAACAGCAGGAGAAAAAAAAAAAACAAAAACAAAAAACCCAATAAAACAAAACAAAAAACAGCAGGAGGAAAAAAACAAACAAACAAAACAAAAAACCCAATAAAACAAAACAAACACACCAAAAAACACAACAACCCAAAATACCATATAAACACAGTACCCACATTAAGAAATCCCTACACCTTTGTGAGTGTGCCACATCCTCCCCTGCACATAGGATAGCACAGCACACAAGAAGGGCCTGTTAACTAACCCAGCAAGCATCCCCTGCAAGAACTGGGGTTTGTGATCTTCTTCTCTCCTGCGCTATTGCCCCCCAAGACTGAGGACTGAGCCAATCCTGATGACCTGTGACAGTCTTTGCTTTACAAAACACGTAAGCGAAGAGCAACCAGCAGAGTTCTCCCACACAGCAGTACATACAGGTAGCAGCTAGTCACTCAGAGGGGCAGATCCCTCTTGTATTTTTAAAGATGAACTAGAAACAAGCAGAATTAGGATTGTTAGTTTCTTTATAAATATAGACATATTCACACAGGGCTGGAACTTGGCTAAATAACATCTCAACCTTAAGGACAAGCTTAGAATTCTACTGGAAGCAGTTTTAAGGATCAGAAGACAATGAAAAATTACAGTCACTTACCTGGGAGATGTTTGCTTATAATTTCAGTTGTTTCAGTTGCTCTAGTCATGGAGGAGTGGATAATCTGATCAAATTTTATTCCCAAACTTGCCAGCCTGTGTCCAGTCAGTTCAGCCTGCTCTCGACCTTAAAAATGATATTCACTATATAAATTGGTGACACTCATGTAAGCACCTCACACAAACTACCAAATAAGTTGTCCCGTAGACATAAAAGGTCTCCATCGATGTCAGGTTTTCTCCTTTCAAAAGTAATTGGAAAACTTTTTTACCAGAGTCACTACTTATTCAGATCAAGCTTATTGGCTGGACAATTTCAAGTCGTATTTCCATTGGCAGGAAAAATTAGTTGTTTTTTTTTTATTAAAAAAAAATATCTCTCTCTCAAAACTTATTCAGACACTTTCACTAAAGTATTTAATATCCCTGCTAGCCCCATCCCAAGGGAGCCACTTCCAATAAAAGACAGTGCTGACCCGAGCCATCTGCCATCTCTGTGTTCTGGGAGCATAGAAGAGGAGACTGTGTCAAACAGATCCACCCAGACCTGACTGCATTTTTCATAAAGGCAACATCATCTTGGAACAGTTAAGAACCACAGAACTTGGATATCGTAGGGAAGGCTTTATTCCATCTTTCAGGTAGGTAGGTGAAACGACAACAGACAGTTTAAGTAACTTACCCAAGGCACAGGATGAGACAGGATTAAGATTATGCTTTGTTACCACTTTAAGATAGCACCTTAGTCCTGAAATTAGCATTTCACTCCTGTTTGCACACTGGTGATTAAGACTTGGGGGGAAGGGGGGAAAGGTGTTTTATACTAAACAGTTGGCACCAGACTTCCAAAACCTCAAGCAGCACTGCACAACAATTCTTCCCCCCTCAAAACAGTGTTGGCATACATATAATCAAGAAAGTGTCCACTGCTTTTTAAGTACACTATTAAAATAATACTAATTAACATTTGAGACCTAGTCACAGGATCAATGAATTAAGATTAACACAGACAGAAGTTATCCTCATCCCATGTAACTGATTAGCAGTATTCCCAGAAACAGTGCTTAGTAGCAAAAGTGAAATGTATTTAATTATAAACATTCCAGCTGAAAGTCAGGTTTTTTATAAATCAGCAAATTAACTAACAGAAACACAAGCCACCTTTTAAGAGAAATCTATCTCAAAGTTAGTCATGGGAGCTAAGTTTAAAAGCTTAGCCTTGGGGAATTGTCTCAGCTAGCATGAAAATTTTCTCAAGCAACCTTAATATAATTGGAAATTTCCTTTGTGAAGTTTCTTTACAACTGTGTTTAGCACTCTGTAAAGCACGTTTTCATGTTTCAATTTAGAGGATCAAAATCAGAAAAAACCAAACTTATTCATGACATCTTTCTGCCACAAAGGATCCAGAAAGTGGATTAAGGTTTGGCAGTGAGACCCAGAACAGAGCTGAGTTACTGACCTGTACTCATCAGGACAGCAGCACGTAAAAAACAATCTTCTCAAAATGCAAAGTACGATGGTTCTAGTAATACATACCAAGTGGGGTCAGAGTTCTGTCTTTATCAGCCCGGCCATCCAAATTATATTGAGAATGACGGATAAGGAATATGTGCCTAGTGGCTTTTGCTTTGCAGTGATCTAAGCGTGAGGCAAGTTCTTCTTCCCCAGTTTCTTCATTTTTCTTTTTGAGGTTGATAAGAGACAGTGGTTCACGTCTAAACAAACACATTTAAAATGTCATTTTTAGATAGGGGAGATTAAAAGGCAGAGGAATTTTACAGATGGGTAGTCTTGTCTTAGTTCTAGATATAGCTGAAGTACTAAAATTGACTATTTAGCCATTTATATCGCAAGACTGATTCAAACCGTTGTGCAAGAGCTATAAATAAAAGCCTGCATTAAAAAACCAAAAGTTAATGCCGTAAGTTAAAAGCTGTAACTCACACAGATAAATTTGCTGTTTAGCAACAGCCACCTTGCAATTAATTCTTTGGGGGGGAAAAAAGCAACAAACGCAAAGAAAAAGTTAAATCCTAATGCAAACAGATGGTGTACACTAAAACATACAAAAGCTACAGTCTGTCTGGACAATAAGATCATAATCACTAGCAGAGACTTTGTATTTGAATTCCTGTCGATTCAATAGTTGTTCTTGGGATTTTCACTGATTTTCAGTCACAGGTACAATGCTAGGTTTTTTGACAAGAAAAACTAACCATGAAGGATACTCAGGAAAAGAGGAAGAGGTGTTGACTGATCATAAAGGAAAGAAAATGTTCCATATCTAAAAGGCCCTGTGATAACACCTACAAAATTTGCACTTTATCAATCACATTTACTTCAAATAACTAAAAGAAACCCCCCAACAATATCCTAGAAAGACTCCAACTTCCTGCAGTGCACATTGAGAATTATTTTGTGCTTTAAACTAGGTCCCATCAGGTCTCTCCAGTAAGACTTTTTTATTTTTCAGCCTGGAGCATGTGTTTATCCTTTCATCTTTTTCATCACTCTCTCTCCCCTCATGCCACTTTAACCTTCCATTTTGTCACACTGTACACTAGTCTCCCTTTCTGCATACCATAACCCTCTTGCACATCACCCAGACAGTTGATCCGGTTCCTCAAGAGGACACCAGGCACGGAGGATCTTCCCCTCCCTCGCCCAGTATCACAGATTAGTGCCACAGATTTCTCGCTGCTGACACCAACACTGCACTGTCATCATCGACCCTGTCCAAATCTGCCACAGATTAGTCTTCTGGTCCCCTTTCTGCACTGATCCTCTACCCCATTAATACAAATCCTTTTGCTATGTCTCTCCACCTCGGAGCGTAAATCCTTTCCCTTGATCTCATACCTAAAGAACAGTTAATTTATTTAATTCATAGCAGATCTCACGTCTTCCATTATTATAATTAAACTTGTTTATTTGTTTATAGATTTTTAATCATTAATATAATTTTTATCTAGTTTGAGACAAAGTAACTTGGTCATAGAAAACGGCTGCTTCACATACCTATTTTTACAGTTCACAGCAAGGCTGGCTTTAAAAAGCCCTGCATTCACTTTGCTTTAGTAAAGACATGATTAAACAATGAGGCTCAACACACTCCTTAAGCTGTTAACAAAGTTCAGCAAGGCATTAAAAATGAAACAGTAGTCCAATAACAAGAAGTTCCATTGCTATTTCATAGGATACTTCTTTTGATTCAGTAGAAACTGTATTGCTGGAAAGATACATTAGGAAAATAGAAAAATGTCTGAAAAATTCAAGCACATTTGTACAGTAACGTAGGGGTTAATTCATCCTATGGCAGAAACACATAACAAGAAACACCTGAGTGCCCTCTCCCCCCCAGCACCTCTGAAGTTACTCGAAGGTTAACATGTGCTTTGAAAAAGCAACAGATGCTTTAACAAGTCATGAGAAGATAACCAAACTTAATATTTTTAAGATAAGCTAGTTTTAGAAAGTTTATGAGCAGGAAAACTTTTAATACTGCTAAGACTTAACTTATGTAGGTTCTTTTAGGCCGCTGACACTCAGAAGCTGACAAATGCAGTTTTCTGCATTCCCTTATAAAAAAAATCACCCAAGATCACAGCTGGACAGAACTTTGCTAAAAAGCAATGGCAATGTTAGGGACCATCTTTAAATCTAACTAAAACAAAAGTATCACTTAATCCATGACAGTGCCCTTCTCACCTTTCGTCCAGGAAGCCCTGCATGTCACTGGAACGTATCATCAGTCAGCCTGACAAATGTTTTCATTCTTGTAACATACTTCGAAATCCAGACATTTCTAGTTTTATTTCTAATAAAACTATTTGCAAGAACCACTCAGAAAATATAGGAAGGTACCTGAAGCCCAGAAATTTAGACAATAATTCAAAACTTTTTTCCTCCCCCTCCCCACACCAAGCTTTCCAGTTAACAGAAGCTTAATAAGAACAAGTATTTTACATGAATGAAACTACATCTAGTCTTCTCCAAGAACTGAGCTGTACAATTCCTGTGCAAGCAGCATAGGCCAAGGCAACATCCTAGGTTTGAAAACAAAATACTTGCATTTTTTTGTTTCAAACCTGAAAAGCCATCAGTTGTTAAGCATATTGTAATATCTGTTATTTGCTCACGACTGACTTCCCTGCCCCCAAAGAGAAGTGGTCAGATGCTCTGTGTATTTATAATCCATTAAAAAACTTTACATGTTAAGTGTTTCTGCCAATGTCGTCCAAAAATAAAGACTTCAACCAGGTACAGCCAAAGCCATAGCACACCAATTGGCAGACACCAAGCAGCAGAAAACTAAAATTGATCTGTGACAATATATTTACATAATACACTTCCACTGTTTGCACACTATGATGAATGGTGATATAGTACAACATCCTTAACTGCTATTAAGTGTTATCTAGCTATATTTGTTCAGGCAATTGTGACAGCTACATCAGTTATAGCACAATCTCTACCTCCTGAATTTAAATTGTGTTATCTATATATTTGTTCAGGCAATTGTGACAGCTACATCAGTTATAGCACAATCTCTACCTCCTGAGAATAAAAAAAAAAAAAAAAGTTACACGAGTCTGAAAGTACTTTAGAATCCCTGAAGAAAATCAACCATTCAGCGGAACCAGAAAGGCCTGGATCTGCAGTTAAACAAGTAGCTTTAGTACCCCACTCCATGCAACTGTGTAACCAAGTATAACCTTATTTAATGAAAGTTTTATTTTTATAATTAGAGCGTACAGAGCCCTATTTATGAGCATTTGACTTTGCAGCATCTCAAAAATCAAAATGGGATGCGTTATACAATAAAAATCTGTTAGTGCTTAAGTTTGGATTTACTACGATTAAGCTGGAGCCTGACATAAGTCTCCCTGGGGAGATAATTCTACCAGACGGAAGCTAAATGAGCCAGAGCTCAATACAGATATTTGTACGTTCTAATTAAAGAATCAGAAAAAATGCAGTTAACCCTTGGGTGAATGTATCTCAACACTATGAAGAACACAACTAAGTTAAGTTCAAAGCAACATCACCTTTACAAGGATTTAAGAACACTAACTTGCAGTTTCATGGCCAACATAAGCAGCAGGCCTAATACATGCCTAGCACGTGCAAACGTTCTTCATCCACAAGGGCGCTGTTATTAAACAGAAAAATCCTGGCGTAGACGTAAAGCAATATTGAGATATGGTTAACACCGTGCGAAAAAGCACAGGCACGTCTTCTACGCAGCGCTCACATTTATCACAAACGTAAGGCTTTGCAATCTCACTGGATGGAAGCATTAGAACAAAGGGATCTGCACATCCCTGCAGAGGGAAAAGTCTCTGAACTGTCTAAAACAGAGGGAAGGCATCCCTTCAGAGCACGTAGGGGCTCCGCAGCTGCAAGAATTTTCAAGAACATTCAGCTACCTTCTGCTCCGAACAGCTTACCACCCGAGGTTTCACCTGGCAGCGAGTCCCGCGGACTCCTGACGCGACCCCGGGGCACTGGGGCTGCTCTCTCGCCGAGGGCTGCGCGCCCGCCACGGCGCGTTTCAG